AAAAACAAACAAAAAAATATGACACAAATTTCGATCCATCAGTAGGAATGGAAATATACTTTCCTGCAAAAGTAGATAATGTTTTTCCAAAAAAATAATTTCAACTCCTCTTATTGGCTCATACAACAAAGAAAGAGAGATGAAAAATAGTTAGCAATATTATAACTAAGAAGGTTCCAAGAATTACGCTATACAGGCGGCTCGTAGAGATTTTTTTTTTCCAAAGAAAAACTAAAATAACAACAGACAAGACACATCTCCAAATCAAAATAATTGTTTAAGAAGTTCCAAAAACCCTACATAAGTCTGTCTCACTGTCTCATAGTCATAGCATGAACAAATAATCCTGTCACGGACCCAAAAATTCTCGACACTGGAGACAAACACAGTAAAAATGGATAGTTTCAAAATTTCTCCGTAGTTTACTCATTTGTTCACATAAGAGCAAAGTTTAAAACACAAAAAAGGAAAAAAAATAAAATAACCAATCACTACCATAGCAAAATATTATTTTAAAATTGAATGTGAGAGCATATGCACCAAGTCTACAAACTGGGTCTGTCCCTGGATAAGTAAATTAGGGATTATATCGTGCATAGGTCAACATTAGTCCACTGACCGTGTAATATAAAAAGTCCTACCTAGTTAGACCCCCTTTTTTTTCACCAATTGGATCCCAAATTAAAATAAATCTCAAGTAATAGAAGAAATGGAAATGGTCCAAACATAGACCCATTCAAGACTATCATTGTCATGTGCGAGTTCAAACCATGGGATATACACGCTCCTAACCAGTAACATAATTCAAATAAAAGCATATATAGAACCAATGTTATTTGTTATCCATTTTGAAACAATCATTTTATTTATTTCATAATTAAAATATAATTTTAATTCAACCAGTCCAACCAATAATCCATTGCCAGCATCTTGAGTGGGGATTCGAGTGATTCGAGTTTAATAACACTGATACAAAGAAGTAGGTCTGCTTTTTCTCAGCCTCCGTCTCAAAATTATTGAGTGCAAACAGAATTTTATGAAACAGCATTCGTGAAAGAATTTGAAAGAACAAAATTAGGTTCATGTTGCAACTTGCAAGGACAATTAATTAGTGCATAACTGCACATAATCAATGGGAAATGAGAACCACAGAATAAGGTTCAATTGGAAAGCACATTCAGGCACATTAAGCATTTGGTTACCCCACATGGGGAGCATGCAGCATCAAACCCGAAAAGAGAACGACCCAAGTTAAAGATCAGAAACTGGCTAGATACAATTGAAGGATTAAACACATGCTGAGAGAAGTGAGCACTTCTACAAACCTGTCATTCTGGGGTAAACATTGGCAGCTAGCCAAGTCTTAAAAACATACCAATAATTGTTCGAACATGATACACAAGACTATCAACACAAAACTGAATCCAACCCCAAACTTGAAGGGCAAAGATGAACCTGTCTTTTATAAGAGGTCCCACATCACACCTTTGATTTGGAACTTTCTACATTTCCAAATGCTTTTGAACTCTCTGATTACCATATCAAAAGTAACGACACCGCAACCAAAAGGCAAGTTGTGTATATAATTGAAGCATACCCTTCGTCCAGTTTAGAAAAAAAGTTCCTACCTTTCTTACTTGATTGCTTGTTCATAAATATTACTATTGACACCGTGAAAAAACTAATCCAACTAAAAGGTTAAATTATTGTGATAAGAAATTTCACAAAAGAAAATGGGGACAACAAGGATCGAATCCGGGATACCGAAACTCTGATACCATATGAAAAACAATTCAATCGAAAAACTTAAATTATTAAGTGAGACTACATTAATAATTTTATATATCTTACACAATTATTATATCTCCATATAACCACAACTACAGCTAACCATAAATAATTATTGGGAAATAGTTTTCTTATGTTGTAGGAAAAAAATATCTCATGTAGTAGAAACAAAATTACAAGTGAGACCCACAGGTAAGAGGGGAGAAAAAAAATAAATGTGGGACCATCCCTCTTTTGTGTGTGTAGGAAATTGACTTCTCTTATGTAACATGAGATACATATAACTCATAATTATTTTGTTTATGACTATTTTATTTGAATAACAATAATATTTTTTTTTTCACTAGAGTTTTTCTCTCTCTCTCTAGATATAGGAAGTGTTTTAAAACCCAACCCCGCCCTCCCGAGTTGACCTGGGTCAACCCTGACCCCTCCTCTCTGAGAGTTGGGGTTACAAGTTGGACCATATATGCATATTGACCTCTCCGAACTCCAAAACCCGGTCGGGTTTCAGTGACTCCCGGGTCAGAGGTGTCAAAGGAGGGTCATTGCATGTTTTTTCTTTTTCCTTTTTAAATTCCATGAAACAACATCATTTTATTAAAAATAAAAATGCTTGCAAACCTAAATCTAATCGTTCTCTTCTCTCCCAGCGACTTAGACATCTTCAATCTTCTCCCCGTTGCCGTGAATCTTCTAGAAAAGGTAAGAATTTTATCCATTCAAATGAAATCCTTACGGTCGTTGATGGAAAACAAAAACTCATTCTTATTTCCTTTAAATTTTCCTTTGTCAGAGACCTTATTAAAGGAGGCAGAATCGGGCCAGCGTAGTGACCCCATTAGAATATGAGTTTTGTAGTTTGGTATCTTGATACTTTAATTAGGTTGTGTAATATTTACTTGTGGTTGTAATTGTTGAATTATGTTAAGTATATTTTGAATCTTTGATGATTAGTAGTTTGTTTTTTAATATTTTCATATAGGATATATATATTTATATTTTTCTAATATATAAAATCGGGTCAGCGTACTGACTCTGTGATCCTTCGATTGAACCCGTGATCCCAGATCTCGTCCGGGTCGATGATCGAGTGGAGTTTTTAAACAATGGATATAGGCATATAGCTAACCCTTGAGGCTATAAATGAATATTAATTTAAATTTATATATAATTCTGTTCACACTTTTTAACGTTTCTATATTAATTCAACAATTTAAACTAAACCAGACCCCTGATAAAAAATATGTAAAACAAATACCTAATTAAGCTTTTTTATAGGCTTATTACGTACACAATTTATATATGGTTCAATAACAAAATGTACATATTATTAATGTCATTAAATTAATAACAAATTATGTATCAAACGTTTATTTTGTTTAAAATAATTATATATGTTAATTATTTCATTGTTAATTGTGTAACTAAATCTATAGGATAACTTATATTACTCTCGAGCAGCATCAACCCACTCATGGCATAAAACAAGGTGGCAGTGAAAATTGTACAAATACAAAGGAATCTTTAGGTATTTTTATTTTTTGATACATAATAAATCTTTAGGTTAATCTATAGCTAAAATATATAAAAATATGGAAAATTATAACATTATCGAATATATTTTTATGCCAAGTAATCATTTTTTTTTGGGATAAACTGCCAAGTAATCATTTTATTTTAAAATCTAAACGTGTAAGTATTTTATTAACGTAGTTTAAAAAAAATTCAAATATCTAAATAAGATATTGTTAATTTTTATAATTTTCACTTATTTGAAATAACATAGTTTTTATAATATTTATAATCAATACATAAATAAGTGAAAATTATAAAAACTAATCTTTCATGAAAATAGGAACTAATACATTAATAAATAAATATAAACTATAAGAATTGAAATCTAAATATATAAAAATGTAAGGACACGTAGAACTTTAACAGTAAAAATTTAAATTTAAATGAATTATATAAAATATAAAAATTAAATCAGAATAAGTAAAAAATATAGTGACAAAAATTTTATTTAAATAAAAAGAAAATATTGGGTAATGTTTGTCTCAGAAATCAAAATTAAAATAAAATATTGGGTAATGTTTGTTTCATAGAAATCTTGATCGGAGAAAGTCCACACTTTTAAAAGTCTGTCTTAACATAGTATAAAAAAAACTGAGAGAGAGAGAGAGAGGCAGAGAGAGAAAGTAAAAAATAAAAGGTCACAGTAAAAATTGATAAATTTGTAAAGTTTTTTTTATTAAATAACATAATAAATGAAAGTTAAGTACACGGGATAATTTGTCTGAGATATTTTGCAAATATTAATACCTCACGCGAATAAGGACAGAATGGTCGCAGCGGGCATTTAAATGCACACGTATGAACCCAAAATGTTACGTGTGTCACGTTGAGGTGGCTGCGCGATGTTGTTGACGCCCGTCTTTGTGATGCGCTTACATTTCGACGAACCGCACATGATCGTAGCACCTTCAGAAAATGAAATACAGAAAAAGAAAAAGACCTTAAATACCGAGTCTACCCTTCCCCCGTCCCTATCCACACGCTTTCGCCAGCCATATCTTCCAAGTTCTAACTCTAGAAGCCTCAACCCTGGTAAAAATAAATAATCTCTTTCATTTTATTATTATTACTATAGTCACTCACTTTACGTCTGAATTAATTTGCATGCACTTGAATTAAATTAAGTAATTGTATAATAAACAATTATTACAACGTGACTTAAAAAAGTGGTAAATACGAGTACCGCGACTATTATTTTATTTTACCAGTAAATTATAAATGCTTCATAGCTGGGGCGGCCATTCCAGTTCCAACGTGTGTAAACTGTGTAAAGCACAAAAACGAGTGCACTATCACCAATGCGGGTTTCTCGTTTTTCTCAATCTTTCTTTTCTAGTTTCTATATAGGCAACAACTGCTAACTAACAAGTAACAAGTAACAAGTAAGAAAGAACAGACACACACACACACACAGAGTTACGCTGTTAGTTACCCACGTTAACGTTAACAGACACACATAGGAGCAGGCAGACAGACACAAACAGAGTTTAGATTTCTCTTTCTAAGAAATTGCCACGTCAGTTATCCAACCACCGTTTGCCGTCCCTTCTTTCTCTCTCTATCTCAATCTCACCCGTTCTTAGCTGTTGTTCATTGTGACCTTTTTTGTTATCTAGCTATAATCCTCTCTCCCTCTTTCGTCGTTTCTTCCTTTTACAAATGAACGAGACCTAGTCTCAAGTCTCAAGTCTCAAGTCTCAACTCAACCCCTTTTATTTTTTATTTTTTATTTTCTCTCTTTACTCTTGTTGTTGTTGTTGTTCTTCTTCAACCTCACTTTCTTTCTCCTCTTCTCGAATCTTCGTTTTACCATTCTAATTTAGAATGCCCACGTGGTGGGGTAGAAAATCAAGCAAGAGCAAGCAGGAGGAGGAGCAGCCACATGGCGGCGGCGGAGGCGGCGGCGGCGTCCTTAATTTCAATTTCATCAAATCTCCGATCAGGAACGCTGCTCCCAAGAAAGGTAAGAAGCCCGAAAAGAAGAAGCCCAACAGCTTTGATGATTTCACTTCTCCCGCTGCTGCCGGCGGCGGCGGGGGGAGCGGAGGCGGCTGCGGCGGCCGCTCTTCCTCTGGATTCTCTTATTGTGATTCCGATGGCGGCGAGAAGAGAGGGCTTCCCTTGCCTCGTCCCTCTGTTTCCTCAACCCAAAGCTTCAGCAACGATCAGGGGCTTGCCTTGGGATCTGCTTCCATATCTGGTTCTAGCGTCAGCTCCACTGGCTCCTGCGATGATCATCCAATTTGTCACTCTCAGATTAATGGGGCCAGGTTTGTGCTTATCATGAACTTAATTTGATTGATTGATTGATTTTTATTTTTTATTTTTTTGGGAAGTAGTAAAGGTTAGCGTTATCATTGATCAGATAAAGTGGCTTTTGATCCGGAGGCTGAGGCTCCGTGTGTGATGTCTCACCTTGTCTCTTCATTGGACCAAAATTGCGTGCTTGCTTTATTTACAAGATTCCTTTTTAGTTTTGTGCTCAGACTTACAATCAGAATTTGTAACAGACCCTGCTACTACCTGCCTTCACTTTTTTCGTAGACTTCTCTTTCTTTTTATCCCTTTTATTATTGTCTTCAACTTTCCTTTTAATTCTTAGGTGTATCTCTCTCTCTCTTTCTCTCACCCTTTCTGCGTGTAAGTCTGTACATGCCTAAAATGCAATTTTCTTCGAGTATTTTTGCTGCAAGTTTTTTTTTTCCCACTCTCTTTAGATTAGATGATTGTTTCTTTTCTGTGAATAATGATTTGTAATTTGTGCTTTGAGGAGTCTTTTTTAAAAGTCTGCATTTTCAGTTCCAGACTTCCTGTGTGGATTTATTTTGGGGGAAATGAAGATCTACATCTTGATGGACAAATTTGTTAATGCTAGGTCATATCCCTTTTTTCTGTAGGAAGTTAACTACCTCCATCCTTATCCCCCCCCTCCCAAATATCTTCTTCAGGTTTCTTTGTCATTCCAATTGGTTTAGGTGACCTATATGCAAAATATATTTATCTTACTGTTTTTCAATAAGTTTTCTGTAATTATCATGATGAATTAAAGGGTATACGCCGATACTAGGTGGATGTAATTATAAAATATGGGAGGCTGAAAAGTTATAATCTTTACACTCATTTTGGCACAGACAGTGTAAGGAAAAGGAACAAAGAGAACATGAATTGTTCAGTTTGTTTATTAGGGTTTTTCCAATGTTCTTCGTTCTCCAATCTGCTGCTAAACTAATTGATGCCATTTCTTTATGCTTAGAGGACAAGTCAACGTGAGGTCAAAAAGCCCAGGTCCTGGGTCAAGAGGGCCCACCAGCCCTACATCACCTCTTCATCCAAGGTTGCATGTTTTGAGTCTTGACTCCCCTACAGGCAGGCAAGAAGATGGAAGGAGTCAATGTCATCCATTGCCTCGTCCTCCAGGCTCTCCTACTAGTCCTTCTCTTTCCAACACAAGGGCGAATGGACTGCTAGAAAACACTACCAGTAACCCTTCCAAATGGAAGAAAGGAAAGCTTCTAGGACGGGGAACATTTGGGCATGTTTACCTGGGATTCAATAGGTATTGGGTTGTTTTTTCTTTTCCAGTCGAGGAAATTTTCTTTCATTTCTCTTTTGGGGGTAGCCTGCAACAACTTTATATCATGTACAATTTTCACTTCCTGAATATTTTAAGGTAGAATTTGTGGAATTTTGCTGTCTGGTGATTGTAATGTATAAGCAAATCCCAGGTTACAAAATAATTATTACAATGCCAGTTGTTATTAGTAATAACAAAAATCTGATGTTAAAGTACGAGTATGTTTACATAATGATATCCGCAGCATTCTGTGCTCTCATTCCAAATGTTCATATTCTGGACAAATCACTGAAATGATATATTTTCTGCTTATGTTTGTTCCACATCTCTAAAATGCTTATATTGCAAATTTGACAGTGATAGTGGACATTTGTGTGCAATAAAAGAAGTCAGGGTTGTCTCTGATGATCAAACATCAAAAGAGTGCCTCAAACAACTAAATCAGGTAATTCTATTATTTACCTGAAGATATATACATGGTGCTTTAAGCCTTCAACACATACTATAGCACTTTGCAGATCTTCGTTTAACAATTGCATTGGAGATTGTTTTATTATGTCTGATTATCATGTGATAGACTATAAATCTATACCATGTTCTCCGTTTGATTGCAGGAAATAAGTTTACTTAGCCAGCTCTCACATCCAAACATTGTTCAATACTATGAAAGTGATTTGGTATGGCTGAAATATTCCGAGTTTAAAGTCCTTTATGCCATATATATACATATTTTAGCTGTGTGCACACACACAAAGAGAATTTAAATAATTTGATGATTGAAATCCATTTATAAATATATGCATACCATGCTTGTAGGGAGAAGAAGCACTTTCCGTTTATCTGGAATATGTCTCTGGTGGTTCAATTCATAAATTACTTCAGCAATATGGAGCCTTCAAGGAGCCTGTTATTCAAAATTATACCAGGCAGATTGTCTCTGGACTTGCCTATCTTCATGGGAGAAACACAGTACATCGGTAGTTTGATTATTCTCACTCTGTTTATAACATGAAATTGATGCTTCTTGACTCTCTTTTAAATTATTCATATGATTTTATTTTCACAGGGATATCAAAGGGGCTAACATACTAGTTGATCCTAATGGTGAAATCAAGCTGGCGGACTTCGGCATGGCTAAACATGTAAGTTTATCATACATTTGCTTTAAAGAATGAATTGCTTCTGGCTCACTTGAAAAGTAAATAATACTCTAGGAAGCACCGACACGCTATTTAAAAAAAAATATGCGTGTCAGACACGGTCGGACACAGACACGCGGTCAATTTTTTCGGACACGATTATCTCGACACGCGATTTTGACCGTATCCGACACGGTCAAGGGGTAGAAATGTAAAATTTTCGAAATTTTTACAAAAGAAAAATAATTATAAAATAAAACATAAAAGTCACCACCGCAGAAACTCTTCGCCGCTTCACACGTCGGGCACCACCGGTAGCTTCTCAAACTGAAATCACGGCGGAACCAGATACGAAGGGTCACCAACGCCCTCGTCGTATTTATACACACAAGAATGGCAAGATCCCAGTATTCAGCACTGTGGATTTCTCTTCTAGTCGATGCTTATCCAAGTTTTCAGATTCTTGTGATTGTGATGCTGAGTCTGGTTGCTCTGACTCTGAAGTGGGTATGTCTTCTTTTGAGATGTCAACCGAGTTTAGGTGAATTTGTTTGTTCATGGCCATGTGTTCTTGTGGCTCTCTAAACTTTCAAGCTTGAGATTGAAGCTTATCTACGGCTATGGATTTTTTTTTGCGATCCGCGTGCTTTTGCGTTGACCAATGGAATGCCATTATTCCACTCTCTTTCTTCTATTTGTACTGGGTTTGGATTCTTTTTTCTCTTTTTAAATAGCTTGGCCACGTCATTCTTAAGTGGCTGTTTAGAATTGTTGTCTAGTGCCATTGTATGGGTTTTAAAAAAAAAATTGATTGGTTATATCATATATGACTTATTATGGGATACTATATGTATTAAATGTAAATTATATTATATATATTTAAAATATTATTTAATATCAAAGCGTGTCCTTATGTGTCAAAGTATGGCATTTTTTAGAATTTACGTATTGGAGTGTCGTGTCCCGTGTCGGTGCATCATAGATAATACTTATTGTTTAATACTTATTGTTTCTGGCACAAAAATTAAGACCGTTCACAATTAGTAAAAAAATATGGAAAGTGGATACTTAAAAATGCTTGTTTTGCTAAAGGTTAAAATTTTCCGTTCTACTCATATCTGAATGCCTAGCGGCACAGACATTCCCCTTTTATATCTTGAATGCACATGCTTTCTCTCACAATTGTGCACCCCCACATAGAGATTGAGAGCTAGAAGGCATATGGCTCTCACACATGCATTGCACTTTCTCATCTCTGTTCTGTCTTTTTATAATTTAAAGCTATATGGCATAAGAGTATATTGTAGGAAGCAAATCTAATTTAGAGAGCTTCAAAATGTATAATTTTCTGTCTTGGTTGGTTTCTGATTTATGATGGAGGTCATCTCTGAATTATGATTGTTCTGAACCAGATAAATGCTTCTTCCTCGATGCTTTCTTTCAAAGGAAGTCCATACTGGATGGCACCTGAGGTAAAATTTTGTTCCCCTTCTTTTTAGATCTTGAAATTTCTTTTGAAACATGCACATCCTTCCCACTGCTTCTCTCTATCTCTTTTATCTATTGCAGTGCAAGTACTAATGTATCCTGTTGTTTGCTTTTTTAGGTTGTTATGAATACAAACGGCTACAGTCTTCCTGTTGATATATGGAGCTTGGGATGCACAATTCTTGAAATGGCAATATCAAAGCCTCCTTGGAGTCAGTATGAAGGGGTGCGATATTGGATAATTAGAACTAGCATTTATTTACATATTTGTTATGATCCTGGTTGAAGAATATGAAGGACCAACATTGTTTTTCTAATGTTGGATTCAACAGGTAGCTGCAATATTTAAAATTGGTAACAGCAAAGACATGCCTGAAATTCCTGATAATCTCTCAAATGATGCAAAGAATTTCATTAAGCTTTGCTTACAAAGAGATCCATCAGCTCGCCCAACTGCCCAAATGTTACTAGATCACCCCTTTATTCGAGATCAGTCAGCAACAAAAGCTGCAAATGTCAGAATAACCAGGGATGCCTTCCCCTACATGTTTGATGGAAGCCGGACACCGGTACAGTCTTTGATGCTTATTTATTTTCTTTGTGAAGTTATGTTGCTTTGACCTCTTACAAGCAAGTTCCCACACATTATAACACAATCATTATATAGCGGGTTCCATTCTCGTAAGATTAACATGCTGCAATATGAGGTTACACAATGCTGGATAAAATTTAATAAAGACTGATGAGTGAAGACTACTTAATATCAACATACTTTATTGTTATCTATGCAGAGGGGCTATAATACTATGTCAGGATTTTATCTCATGGTTTGTTTATTTCTTTGCAATGTATGTATTGTGTAGCTCAACTTTATATGTTTAGTATTATCATATTTAAAATAACAAAATGTAAACATGGTGTATTAACTGTATGGATGAAGTGGTATCTGCAAGTCACTAGGTGCAATTGAGAATGAAGTATGCTTTGTTGTTTGGCTCTTTCCATAGAGTTAGCCGTTAAACATTGATACAGCATTACAATCAGGAAATGAGTGGAAAAAAGAGGTTATTGTCTGTCTTTTGTATGTTGGTCGTTATGTTTGTTTATATTATTAATAGTCTACTTACATTTCTTTTGGAATTCGATACTCTTGTTTTGCCTTAGATCATTGTTGCATTGCATACACATGTACTTGTGAAGTTTATGTGGTACAAATGCGAGAGAAATTGAAGTTGGAAAACAGGTTAACAGGGCGACCATAACATAGTTTGGAGTGACAGCTGATAATGGAAATATATTAATATACCATGCTAGTGGAGTATATTACTCTACAGAGGACTAAATGCTGCCAAAGAATTCTAGGTTGCGACAGAACATGAACAGAAAATATCAGATCATCTGAAGTCACGATTCTAATGCACATATTCCTTGCACTGAATGTTGTGATTTTTAAAGTTGCACAGCTTCTGGAAATCAATTTCTATGGCCAGTGTCGGGCTGGAGCTAACTTTCTCTTCGCTTGGATCCATTTGCAGCCAGTTTTAGATCATCATTCCAATAGAACAAGCATAACTTCACTGGATGGAGATTATGCAACAAAGCCAACTCATGCCGCTACACGAGCAGTTAGGAGTCCAAGGTGGTTAAATATCTGACCTTCTGTTATTTTTAATCATGGCATGGTTTTGTGTCTCAATATATATGCTTCATCGTTTTTATTTTATTTGGACTGACATGCCATTGCAATTCCCTTGGTCAGAGATAACACAAGAATGATCACATCTTTACCAGTATCTCCCTGTTCAAGTCCATTACGACAATACGGGCCAGCACACAAGAGCTGTTTCCTTTCTCCTCCTCATTCAACTTACACAATGATGGGACAAAATACCCTCTCTTCATATCCAGTGAGATCAAATGCCACATTCACTCTTGATCCTTGGCATGAAACATCTTTATACAAAGTCCACACACCCGGGGGATCCCCAAGAACAAGACTCATTTGAGTTGCTGATTGTAAATACCACTATAATCTTGGTTTCCCCAGCATGCCTTTTATCTGTGGTTGAACTTTCATTCAATGCGTGCTATGAAAGTACACAATCTATCTGATAGATTCTGGTCGATTCTTTATGCATGAGAACTAGACAACGGTAGAATTGAGGGGTAAGAGCTCTTGATGCAGGCATTGGACTGGGGAGACCTTGCAGCTTGTAACAATTTATTGATTACTGTAAATGCAAGGTGTTTACTGTGTTTGTAGTAACGTTTATGTTGTATATTGTTAGTTCATGGCAGAAGGAAAAAAAGAGTACTAATTTTTCATACATACTCTCTTTCTTTTTAAATAATTTTTTTTAGTTGAGAATGACACGTGTATGGTTTGGTGCCAAGCCATCACTTGCAAGAGCCTGAACGATGAGATTGAAAGGACCAGTTTCTCCGGAATGTCCAAAATATTTGGAAGCAATTTTATGTTCATTTTTATTTCTTATGGCGAGTCTGATAACTTATTTTTAATTTTACTGCTACATATGATGGTCTATTTTGTCTGGATGCAATGCAAACTTGATTAATGATTCGTGAATTTCATTCAAAGCAACTTAGATATCCTATTGGCAAAAGAAACATTTGTACAAATTTTTTTAGCTTCATATGACAAACAATTTTTTTATTTTTTATTTTTGTGTGTGTGTGAGTAAATTATTCATGTAATTTCAGATTGAGGTGGTTGGAATTTTTTGAAGGGGTAATTTAAGGATTTAAAACTAAATAATTTTGTGTTTGTTATCACCTAAATAATATGAGCTTACTTGAAAATAATTTAAAATACAAAAAATTTTATTTAAAAATTAATAAAATTATAAAAAATATAGAATAAGGTAACCCTGTTATAGCAATGCCAGAAATTGGATTTGGGTCACACTCAAATGAAGGAATCCTTACAAACAATAAACTAGTATAGGACCCGTGCGATGCACGGAGAAAAAAGATTGGTCGGTTTGTCGGAAAAAAAATCGAGAAGCGATTGTGTAGCATTATACTCTAAAAAATATGTTTATCAGAGTTTGCCGAATTCATTCATCCTTTCACAATGAAAAATTAATTATTTAGATGTAATTGATTTTCATATTTATACACACAAAAAAAAGGTTTTTATACTTCATTCTATATTACTTTTTTTATGTGTGTGTGACATATATTAGATGAAGATTTGAAAAAAGATTTGAGGTAAAATATTTAATGTGATAAGAAATGTTTATTAGCTTAATTGCGTACATATCTATGATACATATTTAATACATCATATTTAATCTCAATAACATTAGTCTATATGCTTGTTCATTTTCTTTTATCCCAACGGAAAATCCATAGACCAGCAACACCAGACCGTAAAAAAAAATGTTGGCGGGAGGTGTTGTTGGCTGTCGTTGGCTCATCATAGCACCGATAATTATCCATATCATCTGAAACAGACAGAAATAATTTTGTTTAAACGTGTTTCGTGACTTAGTGTGCCAACGTACAAAACATAATTCAAGTAGACAAATTTTTTTTTTCATAAAAATACTCTGCATTGAAAATGAACAATAGAATAATATCAAAAAACTGCAGAACATTCTTGGGTAATATTTTTTGTTAATATGTCTGAAAAGTGTCTGATTTCAGCATCTGCATCACACGGTCGGGGAAGCAGGCTAAATAATATGAGCTTACTTGAAAATAATTTAAAATACAAAAAAATTTATTTAAAAAAATTAATAAAATTATAAAAAATATAGAATAAGGTAACCCTGTTATAGCAATGCCAGAAATTGGATTTGGGTCACACTCAAATGAAGGAATCCGTACAAACAATAAACTTTTGTTATGGGGGTTGTTGAAGCATTGTTGGGGAAGCAGGCTACCACGTAACCAGTGGGTGGAGTTTATTTGGTGGCATCCTCTGACAAATGGTGCATGCACTCTCTTTATGCTTTTAGTGAGTGAATTCTTTTATTTTCTTTTTCTTTTTTATAATGAGATTTATTTACTTTCATCTAAATGCGATATAAATTTTGTACCGTTAGGTTCTGTGAGCCCACTATGTACCCTTGAGGGTAACGTTACTATATGGATTATACTACTAGGCGAGGTAAAGACCAATCTAGAAGGTATAGTTCCAAGAGGCAGGCAAGCTAATAGCAATGGCAGATTAATAACAGGAGTATGACTTGGAAGTAAATGGGCATAACAACAGTACATAAAAGATACCACTAAGGTTTGCCCATGAGGGCTATTTATAGGGGAAATGGTGCGGGTTGGTGAGAGAGAGGTCAACTCTCCTTGGGATTTACTCCCATGATGCAGTGTTAGGCGTGCTGGCGCTGTCATTGTGGCAGTGCTGCGCCCTCTGCACTCTGGCGGTGTCAGCGCCGGGCAAATGGGGAGTTTCCCTTTGTGGTGTCTGTCGTAGTCTCCTTCAACGATTAGCGTTCCAAGATGGGACATTTTAGTGTATGCCTTGGGCCTGCTGCTACGTTGGGGGTTGAGGGGGTCCATGTCAGCCCTAAGGGCTGACGTGGGGCAAGGCTGAGGCTGGCTTTGAGTGATTGGGCCAGCTGAAGGTTGGGCCTGTGTAGTTGGGCCACCCCAGTACTTGGGCCATCCAGAACATTTATTTTTCTACGTAGAATAACAAAAATATTGCATGAAATTTTATGTTAGATTCTATTAGATAAGTTAAGAATACTCCAAGTATTTCATCTCATGGAATAGAGATTAAAGAATGTAAAAAAGAAGAAGAAGTTGAATTACTAACCTTTTTTCTCCTAATTCATCTAACCTGAAATTATTATTATTATTATTATTTTATGGAAAAAATATTTGTCATTTTAGAGGATAGTCAATTTAGTTAAAATTAGTATTTTTTATTTAAAATTTAAATTAAAAAAGTTATCCATTTTTTCTTCGTAATTTTTATTATGTATTTTTTTTCTTGTTTAAAAAAACACAATTCTAGATATTTTGAACAACAAACAACGAACCTTAATTTTATTTATATTAATTCTGAAGGGGGAAAGATATTGTAATAATCAACTAGTGTTACGATACGACCAATCAATTTCACCGTTAGATCGATTGTGTTGATCCAACGGTTATATTTATTTTCATCTTTGTATGGTTATGATTCTTCATATTTAATAATTTATATTTATTTTCACCTTTGTATGGTTATGATTTTCCATATTTAATGCTTTCAGACCAAATATATTAAATATGGAAAATCATAACTATACAAAGAGGCTTTTTGACCACTGTAACCTTAATTTAATAATTAATGACTAATCCATCCTTCAATCAAAATATATCACCCATATGCCCCTGTTTACGTAAAATACTCAGGTAGACAGGGGGATACTCGGGTATAATTTGAAAATTTCACCCTACAGGGTAGTTAAGGGGATACCCAGGTATTGTTCGTAATCTGAAAAAATGCTTGAATTATTTATCCGGGTAGAGAGGGGGATACCCGGGTATTGTTCGTAATCTAAAAAATGCTTGAATTATTTACTCGGGTAGAGAAGAGGATACGTGAAAAAACCTAAAACAAAAAAAAGGCTACTAAGTCTACTTCAAAAAAAAAAAACCAAAAAACTTGTTCGCTGATCGTTTTTATTAATTTTCTTTTCTTTGCATTTTATTTTTTTTATTTTTTATTTCAACATCAAATAAGTAGTCTTCTCTAGGAAAGAGAAAGTCGCAAGCCTATGCTGCAAACATCATGACTTCGCTTATTCCAACAACAACACCGCTCTGGACACTGGAGGCTTGCGTCTGAGACACATATTATGCAGTAACGTATTTCTGTCAACATAATCTTGCACTTTCTTTGTTTTCTTCTCTTTTTTAATTATTTCTGTCAACATAAAGGTTGTACCCGGGTAAATAGTTCTCCATTGTACTGCCGAATAGTCTGTACCGGGGTATCCCCTCCTTACCCGGATAAATAACTGCATACTCGGGTATCCCCTTATTTATCCGGGTAAATATTTAACATATGTAAGAACAAATTTATTTCGCAAAATATACCCGGGTAGGGAGGGAATACTCGGATATCATAATGGTTAATGATCAAACAGGGACATATTGGTGTTATGTTCGGTGAAAAGGTTAAAATTTTGAAATAGTTTATAAACGAGGACAAGATGATAATTTTTTACTAGCGAAAGGTTACAATGGTCAAAAAGCCATACAAAGATGGAAATAAATATAAGTGTTGGATCAACATAATCGATTTAACGGTGAGATTGATTGATAGTAATATTTAGGGAAAACTTCATTTTCACCCATTATGATTTTGTGATTTATCATTTGACCCCCTGTAGTTTTAAACTTATCGCTTAGACCCATTGTGCTTAAATAATTTATGAGTTAACCTCTCGTGGTTTCAAACTTTGACTTAGAGTCCTCGTGGTTAGAAAATTTTTTACTTATACCACTTGTGATTACAAAAACAAATTTTTTAAAAAATAAATATTTAAAATAAGTGTCCTCTCTTTTTTATTTGATATCCTCACTAATGCATTTAGAGTTTAAAAAATAAAAATTAATTTTTAAAAAATTCACTTATTTTTATTGAGAAAATAAATTCAATTCAAATCAAATATTATTCTATTTTATCTATTTTTTACCCTATATCATTATAAAATTACCTAAAGAAAATAAATATCTTATTTTGATAATACATATTTAATTTATCTTAAATAATATTTTTTATAATTTCAAATATATATTAAAAAATAATATAATTTATAAATTAATTTCAGAATTAATAACTTGAAATTTTTTTTTTTTTTTTTTGTACATTGTCAGGAGGTATCCACATTCAACCTTCTCCGGGCACCATGCCCTTGGGGTACGGCCCGTTTGGGCTAGCCCCTCATTGTAACAGTGGGTGCACTAAGCTTCGCAACCGGAGAAAGGACGAAACTAATCCCCCAACCGAAGATTTTTTGGCTTATCCTCTGGCTTGAGGCAGGGTTTGATCTCTGCACCAAGCAATCCCTTGGGAGCTCAGCTGCCAACTGAGCTGCCCTTGGGGGTTGAAATATTTTTTAAACCATAAATACAATACATAAGGATATAAAATAAAAAAGAGAGAAAATTTATTTTTAAAAATATTTATTTTTTAAACCACAAGGTGTCGAAGTGAAAAATTTTATAACCACAAGGAGTTTAAGTGAAACTTTGAAACCATAGGAGGTTAAATGACAAAATATCTCAGCACAGTAGGTCTAACTAATAAGTTTAAAACCACATGGAGTTAAATAATAAACCACAAAATCACATTGGATGAAAATGAAATTTTTCCTAATATTTATAAGAGTAAAAGCCCAAATTGGTCCTTGACAAAAAATGCGGTGGCCAAATTAGTCCCTAAGAAAAATAAACTCAAAAAAAAGTGCCCAACAATGTCAAACAGGTCCCACGTTAGTCCTTCTGTCAAATGAAAATTGA